TATATAGTTAGTACAAGGTATTACTCACTACTCTTGAGTACTTTTTGTAGGGCTTCTTTTTACTTATAATTTGAGAAGTACTTTGAATTGTACATGCACAATAAAACATTTTTAATGTTGTTTTGACATAGATAATGTAAATTACTAGCTGCTATAGATTCTTTTCATGGAACGAAAAATTACCCAGAATGCTTTGTGATTATGCCTAAGGAGGATGCTTCGTACTTCCGGTTGGCAGCTTTAAGTGTATAAAGAGTCACATTTGGACAGCTTTGAAATGATAGTTGTAATAACTATCAAGTTGTAATTGTATTTTACATCATGGTTTTTTTAACTAATCCTGCTTTTGATCAGCGCCACCTCCTGTACAGGTCATTTAAAAAATGTGATTGAGTGGGAATAAAATATCAGTCACGTACTTTTTATTTTTTTTATTTTTTTTTATTGCATGGCTTACATTTCTGTTAAATTTCATGCCAGTAATGGTTTGCTCTTTATAATACTGTGATGTATTGGGTGTGGAGCTGACAGTTCCTTACCTTTTTCATTTCTGGGTTAGTAGATGCACTAGGAAAAAGTAAACATTTCAAAATATGTTGCATTTAATATGTCAAAATGTGCCTTTTAAAATGTTTTAACCACATAGACATCAACTTTTTGTAAAAGACACTACAGTATTCTGTATAACTGCTTGCTAACTATAAATATATACAGTCCACCGTATACACAACTCCTTAACTTTATTAAATAATAATGTGCATGTTTTGTAAAGCTGCTTTGAAATGCTAATTATTGTCAAATGAGCTCTATAAATAAACTTGGCTTAAATTGAGCTGTAATATATTTTAGCTAGTGAGGCAGTTGTTAAAAACTGCTACATCTCAACCCGACGAACACGGTTGCAGTTCACACGGTACCAAATGGTGTGGCTATATCCACTATATTTCACAGTGTAATTTTATTCGCACTGTAAGTGATTGCGCGTGAAGCCCATCAGTGGGATGTGCTCTGCTGTCTGAGCTAACAGATGAAGAGGCCATACTGGCGTCATACCTCTGAGAGTCCATCAGCTTAATAAAAGTGTCAAGCCGGCTGATTTGTTATGTCTGTTAATAACAGAAGCAAAGGGTTCGACGGGAAAGAGATTAAACAGACGGCTAGAACCGACGTACAGGTGCTGTCGTTTGTCTTCACTCATCCAGCTGGTCTACCTAATACATTTCTTCTCATTTTCTCTCTGTGTCGCACACAAACTATTTCCAGAGGTATTTACACTGCAGTGCTGCTTCTGAGCTTTGGGGATGTTCTGTATTGATGGGTATGGGATTTCAGATCTCCTTGGCCAGGTTGTTCAGAATTATTTTGGCAACATACACCGTGCAAAGTATCAAGGACAGCGGCTGCATTTATTTTTGGGAGTGAATGCTATTATTATTGTTCTAATTGTGTGTGCCATTGTCTCAAAAGCTACTTAAATGTGGTAATTTGCCAGTCATTTTAAAGTACTTCAATTAAATAAAGCTACTCTGCAAAATAAATGCTTTTTTTCGAAGATAAATGCATTGGATCAGAATTTAATTTATTATTCATTTATATTTATATTTTATTTTCTATGGTATAACAAGGTAAACCTTGATGAGGGTGGTTGCGTTAAACTTAAACAGATACATTAACACCACAAATACAGTAAGTGAGTAAATAATAATAATAATAATAATAATAGTAATAATAATAAAACTCTTTTTAAACGTATAGTAAATTAATGATTATTTTGAAAGAAATTTTTATTGCATAAAATAGGCCGGTCATGATATCTTTTTTTTGTGTTACGCTATATAGAGCCAAAATTTATTGTGATAAACGATAATATTGTCATTTTAGGACCATTTGACACTAAAGCATCATAATGCATGTACACTCCTCTAAAGAATACATACTATTTTATTCTTAAGAATATTTCCTTTAATTATAGTCATTTTAACAATTTAATAATTACAAATCAGAATGTGAAAACCAACATTTCCTAAACAAATAAATAAGTAATCATAATAATAATAAATATTACCAATTGGGTCCAAGGCACAATCATCAGGCACCCACATAAAAGTACTATAGTACTTTATACTTAACCATACTGACATTGACACGTCCAATAGAGAGGTTGCACAATCAGCTAAAATGTGGCTAGAAGTGGTTTTTATGTATAGATGATATATAATTTTTATTATTATTTTTTTTACAGTAAACCCGCATATTAAACTGCTTTCCGAAGTATCATGTGACACTGAAGTTTTATGTAGATGTATTAATTCTAAATATTATGTTTTACCATGAGAAAAATACATTGCATTTTAAAGATATATATTTAAATAGAAAAGTGTTATTTTAAATAAATAATAACATTACTAAAAATAACATTAGTACATGTTTTGCTTTATTCTGGAGCTTAGGCTCACGGAATCTGTGCATGCAGAAATCTGCAGATTTTTAGCCCATTGTTGAGTATATTATTGTGATATAATAGAAGTAATATTAAAATGTTAATAAGATTTATTTACAATAGTTTGTAAAGTGATTTTTCAGTAATAAAAATTTTAAATGTATATATTTTTTATTTCATATATTAAATTTTTAGTTACAATACTCCTAAAATTAATCCACATAAACCCACACACACATTATATATATATATATATATATATATATATATATATTTAACAAAATTAATATAAATACCAAATAAAATGTCCACAAATCCTGTCTGGCCCTATTCAGCATGTACAGTGCTCAGGAGTACACCCCTCACAAATCTATCTCTTAAATTCATATTGTTAATGGGAAGCTGTACTATATATTATATTATATTTAGAGCTGTCAAAGTAAGCGCATTAACGGACGTAATTAATTTGAAATATTTAACGCGTAAAAAAAATTAAGCAAATAACACAGTTGCAGTTTTTTTTATTTCTTGTTGTGTTCGACGTGTGTTCAGGGCTAGCGCGTCCATAAAGGCAACCTGGGCGTATGCCTCGGGCAGCAGAATAGTGAGCGAACACCCCGGTCCTTACATTCATCCGCTACACCCTCCCCCTCCCTCACGGTCCTCGGCCTTCCGGATGAATAAAACACTGTGATTGCCATTTGCCTATAGAGCGCCAGTTCAGTCCTGCATGTGTTTAACTTGCAAAGAAATTTGGATAAGACCAAGGATGTGCTTTTAGAAGGAAAGTTTCAGTATAAAACAATTAATGTCGCATCACCAGGCTATCCTGCATTTCCCCCAGAGTTTCTTGCAATTTCAGGTATTTCATTTTTAATATCTAGACTTTATCTACAGTTCAGCAGTTCACTCTCATTCAGCATATTTTCATTAAGGATGTTTTAATGGAATTTGTTACTGCATGGTGAACGGAAAAACCTCCGCATTTCGAGACTCGCGTGATCATTTAAGGTAATCAAAAATCGCTGCTTAAATGGTAAACTCTTAATCATCTTAATCATCAACGCTGAGTATTACTGTCCATGTGAATGAAAGTGACAGATAATTTCACAAACTGTCAAAGACATCTGCGTCCATGAGCCCTCAAATGTGTCTGCTTCATGTTGGTGTGTCAGAATTTTTGCTTGTGAAAATACAGCCATAGTTTAGAATGCTTAGTTTAAGCAAATTTGATGAACACGATCGTGCTTGTTAATGAATCTGTAGGGATCCCTCTCGCTCACCGGCCCTGCGCGTGTTGTGTGTGTGTGTGCATGTGTGTGTGTGTGTTTGTAGTCCACTTAGAATCCAACATGGAAAGCATTTTGTTTGTTGTTGGCATTGATTGATGGGACTTACATGCCTGTGTTTTTATTTCTGTAATAAACGCGGCGTTTCGTGATTAATCATGATTAATTACAAAAAAAAATGTGATTAATCACTTTAATTTTTAAAATCATTTGACAGCCCTTATTATATTATATTATATATTATATTATATTATATTATATTATATTATATTATATTATATTATATTATATTATATTATATTATAATATCATATCATATCATATTAAATCATATTATATTATATTATATTATAATATATTTGTCCTTATACTGTACATTAAATTAGTCAGTACTGAGGCCAAATCTGGAGCTTATCTAACAAAATTTTGAAAACTTTTGATACTGGTCCAAAAACTAGTACACCCAAATTTATGTCATAAAAAATATTAAATACTAATTTAAAAAAGAGGAAAAATCAAGAGAAGCAAAAAAATTGAAAAAATTTGTTGAAATTTTGTAAAATTAATAAAATAAATAAATAAATAAAATATTATTTTAATAAATATATCTAATCTGATTTGTTTAAATGCACCAAAATGCATCGCCTATATTTAATGAGAAATGGATAAACATATTTAGTTTTGAAATGGGGTGTACTCAATTATGCTGAGCACTCTAAATAACTTTTAACTTTTATTTATTAAGTCTTTATGTGTCTGAACTGTCCAGCTGACAGCTGTAGATAATCTCCATGATGAAAAGGCAGCCACAAGTATTAGTGAAGATACTCATCTGGTGCAAACAAACTGCAATACATTGCATGTGTGCATTAAACATAAAGTGAATACATGAATATCAGCGAAGCAGCCGGGCAGTTGGGTGTAAATGTTTCTCTCCACAAATCACAAGGAGATTGGAAGCCATTAGGCTCTCTGACGATAGAGCCATAGGAAGCCACGGCTCATTAAGGCAGATTGCAAATGTCATTTTGCTGCTTCCTCCCTGGCCTTGTATTGAGGGATTGCAACGAAATTAATTTTGCATAGAGTCTGGGTTTTTGAATCAAAGCCAAATCACGCATGACCCACAGCAAGTGTGATTAAATCACTGGTGGAGTTTTGAGAAGGAAGGTCAACCAAACTGCAAACCACCCAGATTCCTCCTCATCCAGTTGATTGCCAGAGATTGCCATCTTTCATCTAAATAACTCTTTTCTTCTTCCATTCCCCAGATTGCCTGTTTGTCACTGACTATTTCACCCGGACGCCTCGCAAGCTCAACGCCTACCGCTCTTTTGCCAGCGTGGAGCTGTTCCACTTCAACGTGCCTGACGACACCGTGGTGGCTGTTTGGAACCTCATCACCTTCAAGGAGCAAGGGGGCACTTTTGGAGACAGCTGCCCAGACCGCAACGTCACAGTGTGAGTTGGCCAATCCTCCAGGTTACTTCTATAGAGGGTGAGAAGGGAGGTCAGCCAAGGACAACAGCACGTTTAGGTCATACGCATCCAATCAGCAGTTCAGATCAAAGGACAGGATATGTAAAAGACAAAAGTCATGTCTTTATCCGAAAGTAAAAAAATAAAAAATAACAAACATGTTGCAAGAAACCCATAGAGTGGAGGAACTCTGATGCCACCTTGTAGGCCAGTCGGCTGCTAGCATAAAAATGGTTTGCTTGATAAAATCCCCATAGGATTTTCTTATAGCTTTTTAGAAGATTGCAAAGAATAAGCTCTGCATTCAAACCCAGTTCATTACACTTACACGTTTTGTTCAACCGGAAAATATTCACTCGAAAATATAACTTTTATCACTTTTAAATCGTAAATGCAAACGCAAGAACTGAAAAGCTAACATTAGGCTATAAACAGGCTCCACTGCCTTTAGGGCACTCGTTTGTGATGTCAGCACCACCCTGCTTCCGACAACTTTTCACTCTTATTTTTGTAATATGGTCCATGACAGATTTACTCTCTTGATTTATTAAATTATTATCCACATGCATTATAAACAAATACCAATGTGGAAAAAAACACATCCGTATATACCCCTACGTGTCTTTTGGAAAGTTGAACGTGGGAAATATATTTGTTTTGCTTTACAGTTGTTATAAAAGTTTTAAAACACGTACTGTATGTTTTATAAATGTACCTACAGAGTATTATTATAAGACATACTTGAATAAGTGTATTGCATGCGTGCAACCAGCCCGGTTACCTTAGTAATGAGGCACGAGGGACAGGTTTATCAAATGCCTGCAAATTCCATCATGGATACAGAACAACATTCAATATTCTTTTTTGTCACAGTACAGCGAAAAGCAGCCCATACAGTCACATCTGCTATAAATTTTAAAGAGGAGTGTAAATATTGCAGTTATCAAATGAGAGTTAAATGTGTTCAAATGAAAAAAAAAAAAAACGACCAAAAATCAATTGATCACGTTAAAATGAAAGTCGATATTTATGCATTTTTACAAATTTACTCACATTTGCATTACTGAGAGCAGGAAAGAGACAGGATGCACTGGTAAGCAGTCATGACTCTCTACAATTGAAGGCATTATCTACACACAGTATGAATTTCCAATTAGAAAAATACTACAAACTTTAAATACTATTTATGAAAATACTTAAACAACAGACAAATCCAAATGCAAGCAGGCCCTGTTCCAGACCAGTTCAGCTCGATGACATAATGTCTTTCACATCGTCTGTTGTCCAATTTAGCAACTTGTAAGCAACAGTCTTTTTAAAGAAGCCTTAAAGAAGCCGGTTGAAAATATCAAGAATGGAATGTAATGTTGTAGAATAAAACATGATTGTATCTTGAGTTTGCGGTAACCACGATCCTTATGCAAGCAATTTAACTGAAATCCCATTCAAAAAACCCATTGACTTTGGGACGAGGTGAACCAGAACGGGTAAAATGCTATCTAGCTTCCGGATTTTTGCATACAAACTGATATCATAGTTTCTCCAGTCCATAGAATAGTAGTTAGAAAATAGTAATTAGAAAATAAAAAATACCCCTCTTGAGAATGTAAGGATGTGTGGTCATGAAATTACGCAAAATTTGCTTAACAAACCTAATTTTTAAACTACACATTTTGCAGAAGCTTCAGAACACACTTAAGAGTTTGTTTTTACACATTTTACCGGTGGATGTGTTCTCTGCGATCAAACCGCTGATTGTTGTGCTGCTAATGAAAAAAAAAAAAATTAATTAACACTTTAGTTTAAGCTAAATGTAACCCTTCCTATGAAGAAAAATGTTAATTAAAGTGCAACTTGACCAACATAAACTTATGAGATGTTAATGTATCAGTATGTCATGGCTTTACTTGAAGGGGCGGATTAATATTATTATTATTAAGACATTTTTAAAAGCTCATGAACTCCTGTGTTTAAACTGTTCATTATGATGTAGACAGAACACTTTTCTATTGTTTTTAATGTAATCAGGCTATTGACAGACGTGACCATTACGTTTAATTACAGGAGTTTTATAATGATGTTTATAATAATGGAGTTTTTAATAATAATGTGCCCCTCAAAGTAAAGTCATGGCATAATGATACATTATAACTTGTTAGTTTATGTTGGTCAAGTTGCACTTTTAATGAATATTTTTATTGTAAGTTCGGTTACATTTAGCTTAAACTAACGTGTTAATAAATACATTAATTAACAAACATGAACTGACAAGTAATTATGGTAGTCGTTATTTACACATGAACACATGTGACTCGTGTTGCAGTTCATGATTAGCTCATGCCTTAACTCATTAGTTAATATTAAAGTAACATTTGGTTTACATATTAGTACATTATTAGTCATGTACTGTTATTGTTAAGTGTTATCAATTTTAGTATTCATGGCGGCATTCATGCTTTGTTTTATTTGTGGTAGGTAGAGACACGGTCTTGGTAAATGCTCTTATGGGTACCAAAAAAGTTGAAGAATGTGTTGCAAATAGTCATGGGACAATAAGCGATATCAAGGTTTACAGATGTTTGGAAAAGTTAAAAAAATTGAAATTAAGCATTTTAACTTTTCTGTTATACATTATATATTCTGTAATAGCGTTCCTATAATATAAGTAGTTTTTTTTTTAAACAGCTATTTTATTTAGCTGTTTATGGCAACGGTATCTCCAGCAGAAAAGGAGCATCCACATCACAGCCCACGATTTAGCAAAACTTTGAAAAACAACTTTATATATACTGTATCACTTATACACCAACATTCCAGCATGCTTATAGTTGCTTATACCTTATATCCAAAGAAAAGAAAGATATCCAAAGATGCCTTTTCAATTTGTAAATAAATCTGTGTTTTTAAACTAATGGAGACAGAAGTCAATGATTTATTTGAATGATTTAGCCTGACATGTTTACTGTTCCAAAATATTTGAAATGTATCGTAAAATATAATATATATTGTGTTCAATGGGAAAAGGTTTTTTTTTTTTACCAGTTGTATTATATTTTAGAGCAGAAATCAAAATACAGTAATACAGTGAAACTTGAATAGTGATATTTTTATCCAAGGTTATCATACCGTCAAAATCTTTAACTGGGCCATGCCTAGTTGGAAATTTTTTTTTTTATCAAGCAAGTAAATGGTGCTCATCATAGACCATTTTTTTTACTGTACAAAGGCAATTTAAAAGTAAGCCACAACTGACAAAAATACTTTCTCTAGCAAATCTATTAGCTATTTTCAGAAAGAAAACATAACGCTGCACTACATGACAACAAATGCTAAACTTGGTTGAATAAATTATGATGGGAGAACAATTCCTTAGGGTTCTCTTATCCGGCTGGCTGCGAGTGGTGAACTTTACAAGATTTGTGTTTACTATGATTATGACTTTAGTCATGAAATACTTTGTAAGATGTCTACATGATGACATTTTAAAAATGCGGCCTGTGATTGAAGCTTTCTTAGTTATTTAGAAAAAGGTTTGAGATTAGAACAGAATATTTATTTATATTGAAGTAGGTGGATAATGCTTAGATTATGGAAAAAAGTATGCATCACATCATGGTGATACCAACATTACTTCACTGGCTGTTTAAATTTCCAGTAGTTTAGTTAATGAAGAGGAATAAATGTCTGTCTAAAGATGTCAAAATGGGACAATATATGAAACTCTAATATTTAATAATACAGCAATTCAGTCTATACAGACTAGTCAAAAACACCTGACTCGGGTTGTACTGCATCAGCAGGATATATATGAAGAGTTTATTTGCAAAAATCGATAACTCCATTTTAGTTATTTTAAAATATCATGTTTTTGTGTTGCACATTGAAGGAATGATATGGAAATTACAGATAGAAATGACTAAAACTAAAGTTTTTTAGTTTTCAGAAGTCATATACTTTGAGTAGGCCTATTGAAAAGTTTAACTGATTAATAAAAAGTTGTGTGACATTTGTTTTTAATTAAACACTTCATATATCACAGTTCTAAAATATAAGAATGTTAAGAGGTTAAACAATCATTATACAGAGATTATATCTATTTTACTGCCCACACAATGGGTGGAAACATAATCAACACATTTAGTACTATTATAACTCATTATCTGCAGTGAACAGGGCTTTCTGTATTAAATTTGTAGAAAAAAAAAAAATACTAAATAAATGAAAAATAAACAAGTAAAAAATGTATAGACATCTACTCATGTACGGTAAGATTAGAGGTGAACAAGGTGGCAGAGAATCTGCTAAAACTTGCTCAGAGGAAAGCGGTTGCTGTCAAATATTGTTTACTTCACATTTAACAGTGAATGAGTTTGCAAAGGTTTGCAAAGAAGGTTCATGCTTACTTTTTAAAAAGTCTTTTTCAGTATCTTTAAAAAACCAAAATACATATTTTAAAATACATTTCAATATATTTGTTCCCATCCCTGTTTAAGAGTATTGTCTTGATCATATTTAAATTAGAGTATTTGTGCCCATGTAAACATACTCGGTGTGAGTTGGCCAAAGCTCCAGGTTACTGAGGGTGAGCTAGAGAGGTCAGCCAAGGACAACAGTGCGATGAGGTCAGACACGTCCAATCAGCAGTTCAGATCAGAGGACAGGATATGTAAAAGCCAAATGTCATATGCATGACTACAGTGACCTTTGCGATGCTCATTCTAAAGAGTACTTGCTGTTTGCCCTGATAAAATAGCTTTTAATCCAAGTTCAAGGATCATTTCCCAGATGCTGATCGTTTGCTGTGCTCTTCATAAAAAGGCATTCATCAAGTGCGGCGCTGGCAGATTTCACAGCGTAACTGCACACTGGAGATTCATAAGCATAAAATACCAAGCGACTCAGATAAGATTTAAAATCCAAATCTGACATTTTTAATCATTTTCACAGGGTCACATTCAGTAGAATTGTTTTTAGTGGATTAA